GAGAAAAAAGACACATATTAGATATTTGTTATGCATTCATATTGCGTTTCATCATGCCAGATGTCATGGAGAATTAAAATAGAAGCATTCTGTTTCTCTCACAATCTACGTGGGGGTGAAAGGTTTATGCTCAAGACAGTGCACTAAATCCATGCAAAGGTGATGGTGACAGAAAAGACAGTATAACTTCAAGACACAGGCCAGAAGGAGCCAGGCCATGTGGTCAGAGAGTTCCTCAGGACTGAGGAAGCCCCACATTTAGGAGGGCACTTGCCTCTGCTGCTGCTCACTTGCCCAGAATTAGTACTGGCCTAAGCAGAACCATGGAAATGAGAGACTAGAAAAAGCCCATTGGTTCATATTCTTTTTCATTTAAGTGATCACTAAATATTTTTTGGAAGATTTCAATCTTTTTTTTTTTTTTGAGTTGGAATCTCACTCTGTCACCCAGACTGGAGTGCAGTGGCTGCTCCCGGCCACCGCAGCCTCGACCTGCTGGGCTCCAGCAATCCTTCCGTCTCAGCCTTCCAAGTAGCTGGAATTACAGGCATGCGCTACCACGCCCAGCTGATTTTTTTGATTTATTGTAGAGATGAAGTCTCGCTGCCCAGGCGGGTCTCAAACCCGCGGGCTCAGGCAATCCACTCACCTCAGCCTCCCAAAGGCACGGGATTACAGGCTGAGCCACTGAGCCCGGCCTTTTTTTTTTTTTGGAGTTGGAGTCTCCCTCTGTCGCCCAGACTGGAGTGCAGTGGCCGCTCCGGGCCACTGCAACCTCGACCCACTGGGTTCTAGCAATCCTTCCGCCTCAGCCTTCTGAGTAACTGGAATTACAGGCACGCGCTACCATGCCTGGCTGATTTTTTGTTTTATTGTAGAGATGAGGTCTCGCCAAGTTGCCCAGGTGGGTCTCAAACCCGCGGGCTCAGACAATCCCCTCACCTCAGCCTCCCAAAGTGCGGGATTACAGGCTGAGCCACCGAGCCCGGCTAGATTTCAATCTTAATTTATTTACTAAACTAGTTTACCCTTTTAGCAGAGTAAAGATAATATAGCATGACCAGGGAACTGGTGTGAAATACTACTCTTTAGTTCTCATTTCCCACAAAGTACAGCATACTGCGAACTCAATAAATATGTGGGAGAAACTTCCTTTGTCAAGGTTTTCCTGTAGTCCAGGGACCATTTATGTGATTTACAGTTTCAGTCTTGGAAATTTTCTCTGAAGTCTTTTTTTTTTTCCATAAACTTCTGAAGTAAAACAAGTTTACTGTCAAAAATTCAAAAGTGTATATATGTATACAAGGTGCCTAATATCTTTGTCACTGGCAACCACTGTTAGACTTTGTGCATCCTGTCAATGAACATAAACGCAAATATGTAGCGAAATATAAACTATATATATTCTACTCACCCACCCCATGTTATTGCTTTTTCCAAAAATGGGATTATATTCCCTTGCAGCTGACTTCTTTCACTTAATAATATATCTTGATCATCTTTCTGTGTCAGAGTTTGAAGAGTGACTCTCATCTTCTTAATGCTCAATAGAGTGTTTCTGTAATTTATTTAACCTGTCCCCCAATCGATAGCTCATACGTTGTTGCCAGTTTTCCTCTGTTTCAACCATCGCTTCAGGAGTCAAACATCTTAGTACAAATAGTTTTGAATATTTCTGTAGGCATTGTTCATGTGAAAGGTAAACTCCTACTTCCGCGGTGCGTTTTCAGTGTCATTACCTATCACCAAATTATCCTCGGCAAGGATTAGACTCCATCCATCTCTCTCAGTGGTAGAGAGTTGTGATTGCCTATTTCACTCACCCTTTCCAACTCTGGATATTATCAGTCTTTGCCAGGAAAGCAGCAAAAGATGGCCTTATTGTTTGAATGAGATTGAACATATTTCTGTTTTTTTAGTCACCAAACTTTAAAAATGATGAATCTCATTTTTCTACACTTTGCTCATTTTTTCTAATGCATTGTTTATCTTTTTTCTTTTGACTGTTGAGTAAATTAGGTCTTGTATGTTCTCAGTTTAAAAATTTTTTTGTTTGTGCAGTATTTTTGGTTGGGTTTTGTTTGGTTGTCATTTAAAATACTTGCATAATAGGCTTTTTTTTTCCTTGCCTTTCTAGTTTCATATTTCTCTGTTTCCCCAATCATGTCCTTTCCTCTCCTATGGAAGTGGTTTTGTGTTTGTCTGTTTGTTTGTTTTAATCTTTTTTTAAAAAATATTCTATTGTTTTGACACATTTATTATATACAAAGTTCTATCTACAAGAAGGTTTTAATAGTCTTGAATAAAGTACCTAATGCTGATGTTTTCTCAGCCATTGTTGAATTGCCCCAGCAGGGGATAAAATATGCATATCCCACTTCAACCAACTTGACCTTAAGTTTCCAATCATCTTTTTGTTACAAGAGGGTAAGAGAATGAGTAGAGGTCTACTTGGCTCATTGAAAACCTTGGACAGAAAAGCAGTGTGATTTTTACGTAATGTTTCTTCTTTCTGCACCATTTACATAAAAGTCTAAATAAAAACAAATGGGATTTTTCAGATGTTTTAATTGACTGGAAGCACCAACATACATCTTTTCCTTTTTTCTCTCAGATATCTTGAATGAGCTCTTCCAACGGGAGAACAGGGTATTGCATTACTGGACCATGAGGAAGAGGCGGCTGGACCAGTGTCAGCAGTACGTGGTCTTTGAAAGGAGTGCCAAACAGGTCAGTGCACACCTGCGCCCAGCGCCCTTCTTCCTCCAACCCCCAATAGCAGGCAGATCATGACGTTTCTGCCATCTTGAAAAACTTTCTAAGAACAAACAGTATTACCTTTTAATTAAGAATTTAGTATAGGAAAAAAAAAAAACCCACAGCCTGGTAAAAATGGTGATTTTGACCCTGAAAAAGGTGCCATTCAGTTTTCCCCTACTGCCTTTATCTCTTCTTTAAGATAGCCAAGTCCAAATAATAATTATGATGATTATTTAGAAATCAATGTGGAATCATGGTCTGCACTTATATAAATATGATGGGTAGTTTTTAGATTGCTGTATTTATATTTTCAAGACAGTTTTATTTTTCAGATAAATTGTGCTAAAATTAAGAAAGAAATGTGACAGAATTTATAATTGAGTGTAATCAAAAAATGTTCATACATTAAGGGGATAAGTGTCCCCCTTCTTAAGCCATCTTGGATAAAATGCTTCTGCCTATATTGTCAGTCATGGGAGAAGATCGTTTTAGTGTAAAATCTAATTGACCCTCAACTTAAACATTGATTCCTATCACTTCTCTTCAGTCTTAATGGTATCATAAGAATCTGTGAACTATTCATCCAGAACCTGAGGGACAGCAGGGAAACAGGAGAGAAGATGTATTCCCCGAACACCTGTATGTGGCCAGTCCCTGGGCTAGGCGCTCAGTGTGTCATCTCCTTCAAGTCATTTGGGGTCCTTCTGCACTGTCAGTCAGTGTAGACCCATGTCCTGACCACGATGCAGGTCTGGACTGTCTTCAGAATCCACTTCGTAACTTAATACTTGTCTGACCCAGAGAAGACATTTGACAAAAATCTTTTTAGTTCAAGGAAAATTAAATATTTCTGCATGTAGGTTTCCCAATTAGGGAACCGATTTTGTTCCAGTTTGTTGTAAGTCTCAAAGTAGACGGCCCGTTCCCAGGACTGCTCAGTTCCCAGAGTTTGATAAACTAGGTCTGTGGGGTGTGGACATGGCCCTGACTCAGCCTTTCTCTGGTCTTGGCTGACTTTACCAGATCTAGTCATCACATTCCCCACAACAAGGGGGCAAGCAACTATATTTTGTAATGCTAAATACATTTTTTCCAGCATTTTTTTTAAAGATTGTTCAACCATATTTCAGAATTATTGGAGACCTGGTTTGTTTTCTAATTAGAGATGGTTTCATATTCTTTTCTCACATATCTTTATCATCTCTCCAGTGAAAGACAAGGAATTATTCAGCTACAAAGAAGCAAAGTTGTAAATCATTCTCTTGGCAGAGAAAGATAATAGAACGTGCGGTTGCATTTTCCTAAAGTTAATTCATTTGCCAAAAATAAAATCACTGGGTTTATGCCCTTACAGATGACCCCTCAGCCATGCGGCCTTGTTGGGTTCTGTTCTGTACTGTAGCCACAAGACTATAATCAATACCGATGGCTTGTCACAGACAGATCCTTGAGGGCACTGACTGATTTTACCGTTTTCAGTGTGGCGCACTGAGATTAATCGGTGGATGCCAATGTCCTTGGTGGGGGGTGAAGAGGGTCACTTGTGGTCTCCTTGCAGTACCTGCTGGGGACCCTTCCCCTCAGGCTTCCTGGGCCACCTCATCCTAGGTCCTTCCTGTCTGCTGGCCATGCTTCCTCAGGCCCTTACTGTCTCTTTTATCTCCACCTCTGGGTGTTGCCTTTCTCAGCCTGTTTGTGGCTCATTCTTGTTTCTCTTTCCTCCTCTTACCTCTCTCTCTGTAGTGTCTCCAGCCCTGACCTCCATTTCTGGTCTCCAGATTTTTAAATCCCAGTTACCTCCTTGGCATCTCTCCACTGTGGCTTCACCAGAAGCAAAACTGCTTTTGCAATTCCCTGTCCCCATGTTCCTCTATCTTACTCATTCAGGAGTGACACTTGTGTCGGTTTCAGTTCCTATCTTTTTCTTATCTTTCTGCCTTCACACCTTCATCAGGTCAGGAGGTGCAGACCCCCAGCTCCATCCTCTCCTGGCTCCCACAGAGGAGCCCCTGCCATGCCCTCCTGAACCTCTGGTACTCACTGGGTGGCTGCGTCCACTCACTCTCCACTCAGTCCCTTCTCCACACAGCTGCCATACTCCCTTACAGAAAAAAAAATCCATGTTCCACCTGGAACCTTCAGCCCCCTCCTGCCTTCCACAGCCTCACTGCCTCCCTTTCTTGCAGCAGGCTCAGCTTTCCACTAGATCCTGGCGTGGCAGGATCTTCCCTCCTCCTCCCCCCACTTCCTTGTCTTTTGAGCAAGGTCTTTGACTCTCATCTGTCACTGCCAACTCTCACTGGTCACTGTCCACTGGCTTGCGTGTTGATGTTCATCTGTTTCCTCCTTCCTTACAAACAGCAAATTGTCCCCAAGGACCTACTGTGGAGTTAGGTGCCATTTGAGGCCTATAGAGCAAGAGCAACTTAAACCCTGTCCCTAGGCCTCACATGGCGCCTGACTCCACAGTAGATCCTTGGGGACAGTTTGCTGTGTGAATGGAGAAATCAGAACTTTGAAGAAAGGGACTGGAATGGCTCTTGACCTTGAATCAGCATCAGTGTGAGCATGGTGCGAGAGAGCGCCCAGCACACTCAGGGCCATGGAAGAAATGCCCAGTCAGTAAGCTGAAGATTCATAGAAGTGAAGGTTTCCTTTTCATTTTTTTCTACTGAAATGCTACAAATGCTGCGATGTGTCTAATAGACACATTTTTCTGTTCCAAGATCAGCAAATTACAGTGGGCAACTTAGAGATGGCCAAGAGCAAATATTAACACTCCAAGTTTTTAATGCTTATTTTCCTTAGCATGCCCTTTTTAGAGGTTTAAGTACATCTGATTTCACTTCAGACGCATAAAAATAGAAGGAAAATTTAGCTGCCATCTAAAATCTGAGCAAATATATGACTTAGAACTGCCGTTCCACTGTGATCTGAACCTAACTGACCCCCTTCTCTCCCAGTGTGTGAGTTTCTGTCCTCTGACCAGAATGGTTAAGGTACGTCTCTGCCAGCATCTTCTCATCAGTGGTGTCTTTATACATAACATAGAGGGATCCTGTACAGGAGCCTTCAAAAGCAGGTGGAGGGGCATATACCTTGGTAGTCCAGCTGGACTCAGGAATTGGAAGAAAGTCCTACGGTTGCACGTTTGAAGGCTGGAAATACACATCTGCTTTCTATTTCTTTTTTTAATTGAACTGCCCCAGTAAGTTTTAAAGTTTCAGTACCATGAGTATCTGGTTCTCAGAACACCCTTCACTCACATCTCCTCAGTATTCTTTTTTTTTTAATCAGTGTTTTTTATTTTGATATTGTGGGGTACAGTTAAGGGTTAGGTATACAAATATGCTTCGTTCAGGCACCCTTGTTTATAAGGGGTGTCTCCCCATCCCCAGACAGATATTGACTACCATTAATTCCACCTCTCTTCCCCTCCCTCCCCCCTCCATAGTTTCCCACCACTGTCAATCCTTTTCTTACAGTATTACAATAGATATTCAAGGTCCACTATATGAGTGAGAACATGTGATACTCAGATCTTTGTTTCTGTGAGTCAGTATTATAGACTCTAGTTCCATTCAGATTGCTGCGAAATTCATGATTTTGTTCTTTTTTTATGGCTGCATAGTATTCCATTGTGTATATGTACCACGTTTTTTAAATCCAGTTCTCTTTTGATGGACAGCATGGTTGATTCCAGGTTGTTGCTATTGTGACCAATGCTGCAGTAAACATACGTGTGCAGTTATCTTTTTGATAGAGTGATTTGAGTTCAACCTCACTAATCATTAAGGAGATGCAAATCAAAACCACACTGAGATACCACCTAACTCCAGTCAGAATGGCAATTATCAGTAACTCAAAAAATAACAGTTGCTGGAGAGGGTGTGGTAAAAAGGGAACACTTCTACACTGTTGGTGGGAGTGCAAACTAGTGCAACCTCTGTGGAAAATAGTGTGGTGATTCCTAAAAGCTCTAAATATCGACCTCCCATATGACCCCACAATGCCCCTACTGGTAACATACCCTCAGTATTCTTGAAAAAGGATCTTAGTAGTCCTTCATCGTGCTTTTTTTGCGCCTTTAGATTCATGGTTATAAGAAGCTCTTGAACTTTTGATTGTTGCTACATAAGCAGCATGACTTTAACTTTCTAGAATGCCCTTTATTAAAAACTCTGGAATTATCTTCCAGAATTCAGTTTCATTCCAGACTCTTGTCTCTCTTGGATGGAGTGTTTTTCAATACGTGCCAGCCATGCTTGTGCTTTGACATTTAAACAAGGTGCTTGGAACCTGGACTTTTCATGAATGTCCAGTCTGTGATGATCATGTCATTCCTTCCCTCTGCAGGCCTTAGAGTGGATCCATGACAACGGGGAGTTCTACCTTTCCACGCACACCTCGACGGGCTCAAGTATACAGCACACCCAGGAGCTGCTGAAAGAGCACGAGGAGTTCCAGATAACTGCAAAGGTGCTTGCGGGCTGGCCTGGGCTTCTGTGGGTAGCCCTCACAGCAGAAATTAGGTGTTTCTCAAAAAGCGTCATTTAAGAAACGCCCAAGAAATTGGAGAAACGGAGGAGTCAGGTGGTCTGTTGCCTTGACTCTGGTGACACTTTTTCCTGCCTTTCACGCTTGTCCCCACAGTGTCCTCTTCATCCCCTTCATCTAACTGTGTCCTTTTGTCCCTCAGATTTCTGTTCCTTTTTTTTTCTTCTTTGTTCTTTTCATTATTCCATTCTTCTTTTCTCTCTCTTGTTTTCTTTTCCAAGGTGTTTTCTGAGTACTTGCTATTTTTGTGAAACACTGTTTGGTGTTACCAACTTGATCTTTTTGTATTCTGGGAGTGTTTTCTTTCCTTGTCCGTATTGGTGAAAAATATTACAGCAGTGTTTCTCACACTTAGTCCACTGAAGTTGTGTTCTACGGTTGGCCGAGTGTCTGTCGATATCTCTGTTAGTGAGTGCTGATAGGTTTATAAAACTGGAGGCATTTTCACTTTTCTCTTGAAAAGCAAAATGGAATTAAATACTTAATTAGAGTTAAATCCTTATGTCATATGCAATGAGTGTGTAAGTAAATATGAATTCTTAAGGAACTATATAAGAATCCATACATTGACATGGATGTTACCTGCAAAGGCCAGCTGCTTCCTGTATCTTAGAGCAGTTCTGAGACTCGTTTGAAGGTCCTTGTCAATCTGGGGGTGGGGGGACAGGGTTCAAAGTTTTTGAGTATGTACCCTTTGTGATATTTTCAGAAGTGTCTCTTTTTAATGATAGATTTGAATTTTTAGAAAAAACTGATAATTATTTCAAATTTAAGAGTAAGAAATAAATGACCAACTGGGTCATATTTTTGGTTAAAAGAAGTGTTTCCAAAAAGTAGCAAGATTGACTATCTTGTAAACATACCAAAGAGGCGTTTTTAAATCTTGTAGAGAGAACGACAGCTACTTTGTATTGTGTTTATTTGTCCATTTTTATGTTTTCTGTAACCATTTCTGACTCCTCCTGCTATTCCTCGCAGCCCCCTATTCTTGGTTCCTGAAGCTGTGAATTTGTTTTCCTCAACCCTGAGATGCTGGGCTCAGGGATTGCCAGGCCTCAATTCTGGAGACTCACGCAGGCTAGTTAGAGCTAAGAGAGTCCGAGTGTCAGGGGCACGGTGAGGAGACCTGGCTTTGAGTGAGGATGCCATGAGCACTGGGGGAGGAAAGGGATGCCAGGCAGCCAGGATGGGAGCTGCCCCTAGAGACATGATGAGTGATCAGGAGGGCTGACCTGCCCTGCCTCTTCAGGTAAGATGGGCTTTTTATTCCACAGCTTTGGTGGGATAGTTTTCGTTTTTATTTATATTTAGATATTAAACCATGGTTCTTATATGCCTTATGTAATCTTTGTTTATTTGAACATCGTTTTATTTGAAGATATTTAGAAAATGCCTACCATAACATAGCACTCAGGCTAGATTTAAGATTTGCCCTCCTGCTGCCCTGCTCTGCAGGCCATTGTGGACATCCAGATACCTGCTCACTGCCCTGGTCTCACTTCTCACTTTTTCTTTTCTTAGCAATCTTTGTCTTTGGTTTCTTACTGCCTTTCTTTTAATCTGAAAGCCCATGCTTGGATTTGGTGGTGCCATTTGACTTTTCATGGTAAGGTGAGGCTGCTTTCATTTGCCTTCTGTCTCCCCATCTTAGTTTCTTCTAAGAAGCCATTTTTCTTTTGCTATATAGAGAAGTCTTAGCTCTGACAGGACAGTCTTCTAATTGTTTTAATAATTGTAACATGTTTGGCATTCATGGAAATAAAGTTATAAGGCTAAACAAAAGTTTCTCATCACTGTCTTACGAAGACTCACTTCGATTCCTTTGCAACTCTCAGCGCGTGATTTCTCCTAGTGTCACACAAGCACTACCTGCATCCAGGTCATGAGTGTGTGTGTGTTTGTTTGTTTGTTTATTTATTTTGAGTTGGAGTCTCACTCTGTCGCCCAGACTGGAGTGCAATGGCCACTCCCGGCCACCGCAGCCTCGACCTGCTGGGCTCCAGCGATCCTTCTGCCTCAGCCTTCCAAGTAGCCGAAATTACAGGCATGAGCTACCACGCCCAGCTGATTCTTTGATTTATTGTAGAGATGAGGTCTCGCTGCCCAGGCGGGTCTCGAACCCGCAGGCTCAGGCAATCCACTCACCTCAGCCTCCCAAAGGCGCGGGATTACAGGCTGAGCCACCGAGCCTGGCTGTGAGTATTTATTTAAAAGCAGTTTTCTGTCCTCTGTGCAGGCCTAGTGACTTCAGCTTTCGAGGAGTGAGGCCTGAGGATGAGCATTTGGAACAACTCACTGCGTGGTTTCTGCGGGCTCTGACGCTGGGAATCCACTGCCCTTAACCACTTCGGACTTCACAATGTTTTTCTCACATGGTTTCTGTGATCCTAGTGACCAGTTTCCCTGGTGCAACATGCCTTACTTTGTTAGAAAGTGTCTAACACCATTGCATGTGCATCCATCCTGGGTTTCTGATTACAAAAGAACATGAGTAAGGTTCTTTTGAGCTTATGGGCTTAAGATATCAGGTTGCTTTTATTTTTCTCCAATTCCTTGACTATACCTACAGATGAGGCTATTCAGTTACAATATTTATATGCTTTTTAAGTAAGAAAAAAATTTAACAACCTCTATAGATAAATAAAATAAGGATGAAAACTTTTATGATATTTCATTTTGAAAGATGTAGGAATAATGGTATTTTATTAAATACCATAATACTGCCTGGAAAAAAATTAAGTTAGAGTCCTATCCTACTTGAATTCCAAGATAAATGCCAAAAGAAGATTTAAATTTCAGCAATAGAAACCTAAAAGTACCAGAAGAAATAACAGGATTTCTTTTCAATGTCCTCATATGGGGAAGTTTGTCTAAGTAACACAAAACCCAAACCTATAAAAGAAAAGATTGATAAATTCACCTACATAAAGTCAAATTTTCTAAAGGGCAATCCACTATAAGCACAGTCTAAAGACAAAAATCAAAATAGAAAAGATATATTTGCAACTGATATCACAAAGGACTTACTTCCTAATAGTAGAGAAATTACAAATCAATAAGAAAAAAAGATCAAGAAAATGAACAAAAGTTATTAAAAATGGATCACAGAAGAGAAATTATAAATGACTTTAAACATATGAGATTATCAGCTTTACTAGTGTAAATCAGAACTACAGTGAGCTTCTTTTCACCTAGTAGACTGAAAGAGATCAAAAAGTGGGACCCCTGCTGGGGTCAAGGCTCCAGTGCTGGGGAGTAAAAGTGGGAGCAGCCCCTTGGGGCCTCTGGTAGCATCTCAGCATCAAGATGTCCCAGCAGTTCCACATCTCAAAACATGTGTTAAGCTATGCGTACGATCAGATGTGGGTCACGCCACACATGAACAGACTTTTTTCTTGCATTGTTGCTATAGAAGTTGGAGATTAGCAACAACATGAAAGCCTGTCGGTATAGAGGCACTAACTTAGGGAACACCAAGCATGAAATATCAGGTAGCTCTAAACACAAGTGAGGCCTTTAGTTCTGGTAGGGAGGGACAACCAAGATTTGTTAAGTAAAAAATGCTAATGAGGAGTAGTGCTTATTGTATGCAGGTGTTGCTGTAAAAAATGTGAGGGGGAGAATACATGTATACATACATGTACCTGTCCACCACAGCCTCGACCTACTGGGCTCCGGTGATCCTTCCGCCTCAGCCTTCCAAGTAGCTGGAACTACAGGCACGCGCTACCACACCCGGCGAATTTTTTTTATTTATTGTAGAGATGAGGTCTCGAACCCGCGGGCTCAGGCAATTCACTCACCTCAGCCTCCCAAGGCGTGGGATACAGGCTAAGCCACCGAGCCCAGCTCAGCAATTATTTTTTGAGCCCCTACTGTGTACCAGGAAATACTAGGTGCTGGGCTCATGGGCTGCATGTTCCATTTACAGGAAAGACAATAGCATGGTAAGTAGGGAAAATACTCTACATCCACATACTTGTTAAGTAAGAAGAGAAAAAAAGTACAGCCATAGGGGAAGAGGGTTGCAACCTTTGATAGAGGGACCAGGGAAAGCCTTTCTGAAAAACGTTTTGACTATCTGATTCGCATTTTTGTTTAAATGATGTTTGTACACCAAGGTCTTAGCAATCTACTAGGCTCTGCTTGTGGGAAATCTTCCATGTTGCATCTAATTCATATAATCAATATCAGCAAGCTGGTGTTATGTACTGACAACTAGTTTATTTTGTGATATGTATTCTGCATATGCAGAAATTGTCCTTTAGCTTCTTGGTGTTTTGGGGTTTGTTTGTTTGTTTTCTTTTTCTTTTTTAATGTAGGCAAGCTGCACTGTCTTTTTATCTTCACATCTGTGTCCCCAGCACTTAGAATGCTAAGTAGCTTTCTTAGCCCCTTAAGGATATACATACACGTGGTTTACAGTGCCTTCCACAGATGATGCTTGTGACAATGGAAGAGATATGAGTAAGCAAAACAAGCAAACATCCTTGGCCTGTGAAGGCGATATTCTCAGAGGAGAGAGATAGACAATGATCTTAGCAAATAAATTGCACCCTCTGTTAAAAGGTGATGCATGCTCTGGGAAGAACCAGGGCAGAAGGGTGATTGGGCAGGAGGCAAACTGCAGTTTTAAGGGTGCCCCCCCCCATTTAGAACCCCTTGAGATGGTGGTCTTCACTGGAGCAGAGACATGAGGGGGAGCTATGCAGATATCTGGGGGAGTAGCATTCTGGGCAGAAGTACCAGTGCAAAGGACCCAAGGAGACTACCAGCCTGGGGAGTGAGGCAGGGAGCCAGCAGCTGATATGTTGCCTGGGGTATTCGTGTTATGTTGACAGCTGACTTGCAGGTTACCCCAGTATTCAAATTCTGGCTCTCAACTTTCCTTTTACAAGATCATTTATCTGGATCTTGAACTCCGACCTTTTTCAGATTTTAAAAGTCACTTTCCTCAATATTTGTCATAAAACTTTTCTAATTAAAGTAGGTTTCATAGTAGAATAGTAACTTACTTATTTGAAAATGCCAGGGGGGTGTTGAAGAAAACCTGGTAGGTAGTAATCAACAAAGTGGTTGTGGAAAGGAAGATTTGTTGAGAAACCAGAGTTGAGTGAAGTACCCATGTGGTATATATGACTGCTGTTTTAGGGTTATCCTTGCGTTTATGGAGAATGGCGAAGTCTACTTCACTTAGTAAAAGATCTGTTCTGTATACTTACAAGATGAAATAATCATATTTTTGAGAGAGAGGGTCCTCAAATAGGAACAAAAGTCAGAATACCTCTGTGTAGAAAATTTCAATTTGTAGGAGCTTCATGAGGAATTTTGTTGAGTACCTGCTGTGGGGATGGCCTTTGCTATGCATTTTACTGGAAAACCAAAAAGTCAGATGGCTGCAGCCCCTAAAGAAGCTGTGGGTCTAAGTGGGCATGTAGAATAAGTTTGCATAAAGCAAGGAGCTGTCATGGCACAGCTACTTTGTAACAAATACACAAGGTTCAACAAAGGAGAGTGAAGAGATCATCCTGAATGACCATTCCTTCCTTCATTCATTCCACAGGTTTTTACTGAGCACCTAACAGATGAAGACATTGTTGAAATATAGTCTGGATTTTTTTTAAGGTCACAGAAATATCATTTATTGTGGAATAGCTAAGGAAAGATAGCTTCTCTAGAATCAAGGTGATGGACTGGATGGACTCGGGGCTTTAGTCTGTTTCTAGCACCACCTCTTTTTTTCTGTTCAGAGCTCAGAGCTGTAGGCAAGTAGCCACTATGTTTCGGGTTTCTGGCAGTTGGGTTCATTTGCTTCACAATACTTTCCTGTTGTTTTTTGCAGCAAACCAAAGAGAGAGTGAAGCTATTGATACAGCTGGCTGATGGCTTTTGTGAAAAAGGGCATGCCCATGCAGCAGAGATAAAAAAATGTGTTACCGCAGTGGATAAGAGGTACAGAGATTTCTCTCTGCGAATGGAGAAATACAGAACCTCTTTGGAGAAAGCCCTGGGAATTTCTTCAGATTCCAACAAATCGGTAAATTGCCTTGTGCAAACTGAATAAATCATGGTCTTCTCTCTAATGTGCTCTCTGCTGATTTAATTAACTGAGTTCACTGACTCTCTTATTCCACAGAGTAAAAGTCTTCAGCTAGATATCATTCCGGCCAGTATCCCTGGGTCAGAGGTGAAACTTCGAGATGCTGCTCATGAACTTAATGAGGAGAAAAGGAAATCTGCCCGCAGGAAAGAGTAAGCCAGACTTTCAGAGTCTACTAGGATTCATTGAAAAAGTGAAGAGAATGTCATTTGGACAAACATGCTTCTATGTGTGCTTTGAAATCAGGACACTATGGATTTTTGTTGCTCTGAGTGTGTTTAGTTTTGTCAGCACAGACTCGGCTATGTTCGCTGTCTCCTTATCACCTGGTTCAGAAACAGTGTTTTGTTCTTATCCCTGTGCCTTCATTTCACATGGGAGTTGACAAATTGTTATTAATAGGTAGTAATATTAAGGAGAGGAAATTAATAGCACAAATGTAGGTGATTAAAAGCTGCCGAGTAGTAAACTCTACAATATATAAATAAAGACAACCCAGTGGTTCTTAATTGGGGTAATTTTGTCCCCTGGGAACATTTGGCAATGTGAGGAGACATTTTGGGTGTCACAGTGTGGAGGGGGATGGGAAGTGCTGCCAGCATCTGATGGGTGGAGACCAGGGAAGCTGCTAAGCATCCTATAATGCAGAGGCCAGTCTCCAATGAAGAGTGATCTGGCCCAAATGCTGGTAGTGCCTCCGCTGAGAAACCCTGAGCTGTAGGGACTGCAATAAAATGTTTTCAAAACTCTTTTGTTCTTCCTTTGAATTAGTGGCCGAGACTATTGCTCTGCCTGTCTATTCTTGATTTGCCTCTCCAAAACCCTGACTTTAGGACTGATACTTCTAGCCCCTCCTTATTATTTCATAAATTCATAAAAGTGGATAGTAAAATAATCCTGCATCTTGACTGTGAACTAAACCACTCACTCTTCCTCCAAGGTTCATAATGGCTGAGCTAATCCAGACGGAAAAGGCTTACGTCAGAGACCTCCGGGAGTGTATGGATGTAAGTAAGTTTTTTTTACTTGTTTATTTAGATGAAGCATAACCTTGCTGTTTTATTCTTACCCATTGGTAGCTCTTAGAATAATCACAGTTTTTGTTGTTATTTTTGAAATTTAAAGTGTGCTTAAGCTGCCAGTTTTATTTTCTGTACTTCTGTGGCATTCTAGGCTTGTTTTGCACTCATTACAGAGATGATACAGCATTAATCCTCTCATTCTGTGTGTCACATGATGGCCTGGCTGACATTCTCTTAGGATAGAATTTTACAGCAGCTTCAGAGAAATGTGCCTACTAGTTATGATTGGCAACCCATGCTTAGTCGTATCATGAATGTCTGTTGTACCTTGTGGAGTAGGTTAATTCCAAAATGTGAAGCTGGAAATAAATTTAGAGTTGGAAGGTATAGAAAGTCTTCTCAAGTAACTTCTCAAGCAACTGAGGAGCTTTTTTAGAAGGGGAGTTTTTATGTTTTGAAAAAGATTCCATACCTCAGTTATAATTCATTTATCCGTTAACTCTGAGTATGTGTTTACAAATGTCAGGAATAGCTATTTCTTAAAAACATGATGTTGATGTTTGACTAATCCTTCTGTTTCTCTCTGGCCAGACCTACCTGTGGGAAATGACCAGCGGCGTGGAGGAGATCCCACCTGGCATTGTCAACAAAGAGCTTATTATCTTCGGAAATATGCAGGAAATCTATGAGTTTCATAACAAGTGAGTGGCTTTATCTTTGGGGAGCAGTGGCTCTTGAAATCCAGATATTTAATACATGTGTACTCCAAAAAGTCAAAAGTCACACAAATATCAAACCAAAATGGATTGCTTTCTCGACTGGGAATCAAACCCAGGCTGTGGGGATGAAAGCACAGAATTTTAACTGTCAAACTGCAAAGTGAAGCACCCTTCACTGTGAATCCTGCTGGGGATTCAAAGCAGGCACTTTGAATGTATTACAGAGTTTAAGTTGTTTTAGGTCAGATTTTTTTTGCTTGTTGAGAGAATTTCTAGCGCTAGCCATGACTCTCTTATGTGTCTTTTATTTAATTTGATCTTTCCATAAATACAAATAAGACAATTACATAGAATAAAGAACCTCCAAATTTTAAAAAAAGGAAAGAAATCTAGGTACTGCACTGAAGCTTCATAACAAGAAATTAAAAAGTGTGCAATTGAATTGAGCAGATTTCAGTGATTTTGTTGGATTTAATTGAAGCTTATCAGTCTAACAAAGATTGACATTCTAGAGACTCTTTTAATATAGATTCAACTTTATGTTTGTACTTACTTTCTACAGAAATAAGATTAGGAAAACTGCAGGAATGTTTTTGTAGGAACACTGACTTCTCTCAGGCTGAGCTATCCGCTGCCACATGAGCTGCTTCTCAGGGCTAAAGGACAGCAGAGCTCCCCGGGGGGTTCTGCTGGCCCATCCTGTTTGGTCTCTTATGATAAGAGCAGGGGTAACTGAGGAGGGAATAAATGTGTAGTTTGACCAAAATATAATGCGCCTTCCATTGGCATTCAAGGCCCATGGTTTTATTTTTTAATATTTAAAAAAGCAGCTGTGTCAAAAACTCCATTAGGTGGTATGTGCAACCTAGTGGCCTGTGGTAAGATGATGGAGGGGTCAGAGCTAGTGGGGTCTCTTCACTTCCTTGCTCCCACAAAATGCCAAATGAGTTTTCCATTGAATATTTGCATCCTTAAATGATATCCTTAGCTACTTACCACTAGCATTTTTCCAAGAGTAACTGCTAGGTTGAAACTTCTGTTAGAAAGTATTGGAAGGCTACACTGGTTAACAGTTTTGAAGATCAAAATAACTTATCCTAGTTAGAAGCACAGATCCTCTTAAAATCTAGAGGGCACATATCTTTCCATTTCTGGCATATCTCACTAGTAAAATGTTTTACAACACCTTCATAACATGATAATGTTTTTATTTTCTGCAGTATATTCCTAAAGGAGCTGGAAAAATATGAACAGTTGCCAGAGGACGTTGGACATTGCTTTGTCACCTGGGTAATGAATCCTCCGCTGCTTGATCTCTCAGTTTTTGGGTGGCATTGAAGGAAGTTGGAAGGAATGTGGTTCATTTCTTTTAAGTCTTATATTCTGCTGATAACCGTGCATACAGAGAAATGAACTTTACTTTTCTCCAACTAATTGTTATTATGGAATGAGTTTTTTATTGTCAGTGATGGTGGTTTGAAATAGATCATGTAGTGTCTCAGGCAGGCCTCTGCATGACCCTGGGGACTCCCATGACTCCTAGAGTATTCAGTCCTGCCCGGGAGCTTGTCCAGTTTGGAGGGGAGGCAGACAAGTGTACCCAGGGCTGTGCTTTTGAAAACCTGCAGCTGAGGTACCACTGTGGGAAGAGAGGACAGGTGCCCAGCCCTGACTTGCTGGAATGGGGAAGGCTTCTGCAGAGGCATGGTGTCAGGAGAATGTGTTCCTTTCAGTAGTTTCCTTTCTAAAATAGGGTTTATTTTATTTGGAGCTTAAATTTTCTTTATTCTCACAGCTTCTTTCCTATATAAGTTTATCATACTTCAACTTGTTGCCATTTGAATGAGATATTCTTTTTTTTTTTTTTGGCTTATAGGCAGATAAGTTTCAGATGTATGTCACATATTGCAAAAATAAGCCTGATTCTACTCAGCTAATATTGGAACATGCAGGGTCCTACTTTGACGTAAGTAACAGACTCCTAAAGAAGCTATTTAAGTTTTCCATGGTGTATATGTAAAATTCAGCATTTCTCACAACTTTTACCTAATTGATGGAACAATATTTTATTTTCATTTTTATCTATCATGCTTATGTTGGGACATTCTTACATTTTCTTCTGTTTTTAAAGATCCTACTCAAGTAGTAGAAACTGTATATCTGTTAAGAAATTCATGTTTTAATATGTTCATTTGTATGTCTGTGTCATTACTTACTATTTATAGTCCATCATTAATTTTTACATGTAATAATGTGCACAGAAGCTACAAACTACTAAACTTCTTTTCCCCTCCGTGAAACAAGAATACATTTGAGTCTTTTAAATTATTTTTCCTATTTAAACTTTATGATGTTATGAATTTCCAGTAAAATGTTATAAATAACAACTAGGATTAATTAGAAGGCTTAAGTTCTCATTAGAGTAAACATAAATTTAGGTAATCTGTTTTTTAGAAGATATTGCAGGGAGGTCATTTAGTATAAAAGGTATTTAAGACATGACACAGAGAATGCTTTCTGAGTTTCCAGAGCTTGGTCAAATGTGTGCCAAATACATTTGGATGGAAGGATCAATCCATACTTTTGCATAGTACCTGTACTTTGGTGCGTAAGATCGTGAGGATATTGAACTTGTTTTCTGTCTTTACACTTATGTGTGGAAAAGTGTGATAATCTGCTCTTATCCAAAAGTCTGGGAAATTAGAATAAACATTAGTTTCTCTCTTTGAGATAAAGTGCTACTGACAGATGACCCTATTTTAGTTGTCATTCCTGTGACCAATAACGACACATCACTGCCTCTGTAAATATGAAGGCTGCTGATAGCCCAGTTTGCCCTTTTCTTTTTAATCTTTCACATGCCCCCAGGTCTTTGCCATCAGATGAAACCCAACACCATGGCTGCATGCAGAGTTAGAAGTGTTTCAAGCCTAAGCAGGGAGAGCATGTGGCGCATTCAAATGTTTGGAATTAAAGCTATTTTAGAAAGCCTTGTGCCCTGAAACATATCTTTAAAAATAAAAGAAATCATGCTTGAGGGATTTTATAAATTCCATGCCTTTCGTATTCATTGTACAGTTGTTTTATTTGTTAACCAAGCCCTATAATAACTTCCTCCCTTCTCCAGGCCATTGACTAGCCTTCAATTATACCTCTTTCTGGTAAGCATTACAGGACATCTATCAGGTGCTATTTAACTCTCTGAGCTCTGTCGTAGGTGCTGGCACAGAGCAGTGAGTAGTACAGAGAGGGCGCTACCTCCACAAGACAAATGCAAACAGCCAGCAGGTCACTGAGTGCAGATGACTTAGTTATAGGATACAGAGTAGAAATCATACATCAGATATGCCCCTGGCCAGTAGTGTAGACCTGCCCTTTCCAAAGTCCTCCCTCCCCATCCAGAAGTGAAATTTTAGAAGCAAATAAGTTTATGTTAATATTCTAACAGCCTTTTAGGAAAAGGAAACTGTATTATTTCAGCAGGATTAAACACTTGTCAGGCACAGTTTTTGGAAAAGTAATGTGGTCTTGTAGCTGTTTTTTAATAGTGTAGTCCTATGAGAATCTTGCTTATTTTTTATAAACAGGAGATACAGCAGCGGCATGGGTTAGCCAACTCCATCTCATCCTACCTTATTAAGCCAGTTCAACGAATAACAAAGTATCAACTCCTTTTAAAAGTATGTATGAAGTGTCTTCAGTCTGGGTAAGGTTGATGAATTATGCCTTACTATTGTGACATTTAAAAAATATTTTTATATATTTTACATATGTACCCTGAATTTTTTTGAAGTAATACCTGGTAAATTAATTTTACTTTTGTATTTATTGCTGCTTACTGCCCAGCCTAATTTCTCATTGAAGCAGGTAAATAAGAATATATTCCTTGATTATGCTCCTGGACTATACTGACTGACCCTAGTTTCTAACATAAAATGAGGCAGGAAAGAGAAATTGATGGTTCTTGATATTGTAGTGCCCTTGGTGCCCAGGAATGGCTTGTTGACTTTGCCTGGGCACTGTGCTGTACCTTCTGCACATTAACTTCCCAATAGTGCTAGTCTGCAGGTGTGAAAACCAACCTCAGATGGTCAAGAGTGTGCATATAACCATCACTGAGGCCTATAGTCTGGGCTTGGCTCTGAACACAGATCTTGCTGGTGCCCATGTCCTCCACTGACACCACGGAGTATCACCCCAGGCATCTCCCTCTGTGCACCTCATCAGTCACACACACCTCATGGGAAGGTCACTCGTACAGTCACATGCCCTGGAGTCAGACTGACCTTTATTTTTCTTGGTTGTGAATAATAATTCAAATGACACTTGTAGAAAGTTAATAGTGATTAGTCTTACAATAGAAAGATAAAGAAAACTTAGAACTTGTGCTAAGAGTTGTCACAAAATGCATTATATATCATCAGTCCACATTCTTTTTTTTTTTGAGTTGGAGTCTCACTCCGTAGCCCAGACTGGAATGTAGTGGCATGCTCCCAGCCACCGCAGCCTCGACCTGCTGGGCTCCAGCGATCCTTCTGCTTCAGCCTTCCAAGTAGCCAGAATTACAGACACGCGCTACCACGCCCGGCTAGTTTTTGATTTATTGTAGAGATAGGTCTCGCCAAGTTGCGTAGGCAGGTTTCAAACCCATGGGCTCAGGCAATCCACTCACCTCGGCCTCCCAAAGTGCTGGGATTACAGGCTGAGCCGCCGAACCTGGCCTATGGGACTTTTCTGTTGGCGAGGCTCTCCTATACTTTTATATCAAAATTCCATTCAGTGATTTTATGACCATCACTATAGAAATATATAGTCGCCATGAACATGAAATAAGAAGTCAGGAGGCTAATTTGTTTATATCTAGATTTGCCCTTTGCTTTCCAATTCTGCAAAGGCCGTTTACCTCTTGGTGTCCTTAAGATGTAGGGATTTTGTTTCGAATATGTGGCTCTACTAAGCTGGTGCTTAAGTTATGAACCTTACCTTATTCTGCCCAGAGATTCTTTAGGAGAAAATAAGCTACATTATGCTCCCCAACAAGAAAGGTTCCTGCCAGTGAAGATATTTGTCTCAGTACATTGCATTTGTAAAAACAGTTTGTGCCAGGCTTCTCAGAATGAGAGATAAACACCATCTGGTCATGAGTGAAGGTGCCCATTGGATGATGAGGGACTCTAGACCATCCAGTGTGAGACCAGAGCTGGCGGCAGCATCAGGGCCCTCTTTTGTTGACAGCCAGGACACAAACTGCTGTTGCTGTTATTGGCTGATCATAATCACGAACACACCATAAGGAAATATCTTGGAGCTCTGGAATCTGAACTTCTTGTCCCTGCTATCATTCATTTAATAACAGATGTTCCTGTAAATAGCTCTGAGATGTAATTACATACATAGGGCTCCTCAGGGAGGTACAATTCAACCATCAGAGCTTTTCTAAACATCCTACACACAAAGGAAATGTACTTGACTTTGGGCACTCATGCAGTGTTACTGTTCCTGGTGCGTGGTTTGGTTTTTTGGATTAGATGGAGTATTACATTAATGGCACCAGGGTTAAGAGTCATGCTGGGATTGTGGGGGAAGTATACAGTTGAACTCTGGCATGGCCATCAGCTGTAACCAGTAACTGATCATGGCTTACAGACTAATTACATATTTTTAGTTATCATTTTTGAGGCTTGATCATTAACAGGTATACTAATTTCATCTTCAACTGTGTGACTGCATTTGCTTTACTCTCATGGCCTGATGTTAGCAGGACCAACACAGTCGCTTGGATAAAGAGGCAGTAATTCATTTCTGTAAGAGTGTATGCCCAGTGGGTCACAGTCTCTTTTTATCCTGAAGACATTGGGTTTTCATAGACTCCTTCATTTCTGCCAAGGTCTTGCTGGCAGAACACACCACAGTCTTTACCCCATCCCTGGTCTTGATTGTTAACAGGAGCTGCTGACATGCTGTGAGGAAGGAAAAGGGGAGATTAAAGATGGCCTGGAGGTGATGCTCAGTGTGCCAAAGCGGGCCAACGATGCCATGCACCTCAGCATGCTGGAAGGTAAAAGACTCGCCACGACCCCAGCATGCATTTGCAGGATTTTCACTGGCACTGTTTATAGATGAGTTTCCCGACCCCTAAAAATCTCGGCTTTATGCCTCTCTGTTTGGTGATTGAGAGCTTAGATGTGAATGTCTTCTTTTTAAAAGAATTGGTGTCATTACTTTTCTTAAGGACCACATAAAATGCTTCTACCTCATCGAAAGTCTTTTCTTTTCCCCTAATTGGAAAACAGCCACTCTACGTCCTGATGGCACTTTGTGGCACTTACCTTAGGCTACCTGGTCTCACTGTTAGATGGGTAGGTAGATGGATGGTTGGATTACGCCAAGACTGTAAAATCCTTAAAAGAGCTTATGCTTTCCCGTCTCTATCCAGTGTGTCACTTGCTAGAGCCTTGAATGCCATAGGGACCATATGCCATAGGTCTCTTACACCCGGCTTTCTCTTTACCACACTGTACACCAAATTCAACTGCACAAGCAAGTATCTTGTGCAGTTGAGTTTGGTGTATAATGTGGTAAAGAGAAAGTTAGATAACTATGTTTAAAAATTATTGTAGTATTCAGAATTCCCATAAATGCCCCTGTTTAAGAAAGCTTTCTCTGTGTTGCAAAGTTGCTCTTGTCACGTTACATAGAACTATGTATAAGAAATAATTCTCCTTCAAATGCTTCTGCTAGCCTGTGTCGTCATTGTGGGTGACATTGAGCCATATATCAGTTAGAGCCTAGGTGCTGCCGGGTGTAAGAGACCCAACACTCAGAGCACAAGCAGGATCAGTTTTCCTTTCTCTGCTGTCAAATGCTGTGCCAGTATGGCAGCTCTTCATGATGTCTTCAAGAACTCAGGCTGTTTTCCAGCCAGTTTCTCTCCATCCTAGATTCTGTCCTGATTGGCTCAGTCCAGGCTGTTTCCTGACCACACCAAAGTTCCATCTAGCTGGAAGTGGGGAAGTAGGTCAGGGAGGTAACCTCCAGGCAGGCAGAGACTCCAGTGGAACACATTGCTGTCCTCACTTGCTTCGAGCATGGGCGCCCAACTGCTCCTAGCTGTGAAGAGGCCTAAAGAACGGAGCACACTGTGCTGTGAGAGAAGAAGGGGTGGAAGTTGGGAGACCACAGGAGGCCTCTGCCTAGGTAACACATTAGCCCCGGTGATAAAGCCAGCCACTTCAGCGAAGAGAGTAGCAGCAGTGAAGGCCGGTCTGTGGCCAGAGTGTGGCAGTTCACATGCAGAGTGTTACACTCAGAGGAGGGAGAGATCACCAGGGATGGGCAGCTGGGCACGTCCCCAAGAAGCAAGACCAGAACAGGTTCTGGAACTGAATGGAATGTCTGGGAATGTCTGTTCCCTAGGCTGAGGAAGCAAAGAGAATCTAGACCAAGGTACGATGTGGCTGGGATCTTAGAGGAGAGTCAGGGAGCATTCTGGAAGGAGGAGGAGAAGGAGGAGGAGGTTCCTGTGGTGGGATGCTGTGGGAGAGGGCCAAAGAGAAGTAAGGAATCAGAGCAAATCCCAAGTGGTGTGAAGGCCCACGGAGGGGGCTACAACTTAAAGAATAAAGCCATGAGGAATCACTGAATGTCCTTGGACAAGGTAAAATGTATGCGAAGTAGCGTCTCAGGAACTATTATCTTTTGATAAATTGGGTAGGTCGGTGGTATGGAGACAAGAGTCAGGTGGGAAACTGATCCGAGGTTGGTCTCATGGGAATTTTCCAACTATTGAAATAGTAACAAGGCTTTCTTGTACATAATTTTTTTAAATGTTTTCTTTTAAATTGACTTGCCTACTTTTTTCACATTGTAGGGTTTGATGAAAACATTGAGTCTCAGGGAGAACTCATCCTGCAGGAATCCTTCCAAGTGTGGGACCCAAAAACCTTAATCCGGAAGGGTCGGGAGCGGCATCTCTTCCTTTTTGAAATGTCCTTGGTGTTCAGCAAAGAAGTGAAAGATTCCAGTGGGAGAAGCAAATACCTTTACAAAAGCAAATTATTTGTAAGTATGGGTGTTCATAATCATAAGTCTAAAAGTAAACAACTGCAGTCCTTTTGTAGGTAGAGAAAATCGTTTGCTGTCTTCAGTTTAACTTCCCACTCGACCCTAAAATGTAACATTTCCTCTTCAGTGAAATTCCTTGCCACCCCTGCATCCACTAGAGGGCGCTCTGACATTCCATAGGCTTAGGAAATCTCATGTCATGTAACTACAGGCTAAGAAAACATTTTATAAGTGAATTTAAATCTTTTCTCTCCTGTGTGCCTTAGACTTTAAAAATAAATTGATCATATCAGACTATGACTACCTAAGCTCCCATATCACTATAATGAATTTTTCACCCATAAACATTGGAATATATTGAAGCAGCCTTACTGGGTAATTCACTGTAGGCTTTGCATGATGACGATTTTTTTCTCCATTAAAAAATAAAAGTTCTAGCTAAACTCGGTGGCTCAGCCTGTAATCCCAGCGCTTTGGGAGGCTGAGGTGAGTGGATTGCCTGAGCCCACGGGTTTGAGACCCACCTGGGCAACTTGGCGAGACCTCATCTCTACAATAAATAAAAAAATTAGCCGGGCGTGGTAGCACGCGCCTGTAGTTCCGGCTACTTGGAAGGCTGAGGCGGAAGGATCGCCGGAGCCCAGCGGGTCGAGGCTGCGGTGGCTGGGAGCGTACCACTGCACTCCAGTCTGGAGGATGGAGTGAGACTCCAACTCAAAAAATAAAAAATAAATAATAAATTTCTGAAAAGTAATTGCACAAATAAATGTGTGGCTCTTTGTAAGAGCAAAATGTCATTGTTAGAGAAAATGTATTTAAGCAAAAAGAAAGTTTGAAAGCTGCATGGCCCGCCTCTGTGGATACAGCCTCTGTGGAGTGCTTGCCAGATGCATCTGAATTAATTCTTTAACCTGTCGTTAAAGGAGAGGGCACCTCATGGCAAGAAAAATACCTAGTGCCATTTTGTGGCCACGAGCCAGCCTAACCAGCCTCTTTATGAAACGACACATCCACTCTCTGGAAAGCCCAAGACTGGCGTACCACCCGGGTCCACTGTGCCATCTTCCTTGGGGAGGTCATCTCAAAGAGCTGTCCATGCAGAATTGCCAGGCAGGGCCGGCAGAGGGGAAGATTGGGTGAGACTACAGAGAAATCACTGTCCCAGAAAGAATAGACAATGCCAAAAAGTTGGGTCTCTTTATGGCAGATCTCTCACAAATGTTCGCGATTTGGACAACTTATACATTACACTTTTTATGATGTCCATATATTAATGAAACGCCCAAGGTAATAAAATATCTCTGAGTATGGAAATCAGCTTAATAATAATCCGGAATTCGCAGGTTCCAGCTAACGGTTTTCATACCATTTTCATTGGCTTGCATCCTGTTTGAGATTGTCTTTTGGCCCACAGCTGGTCTGACATCATTTTAGGTCACATTCTGACTGGAAAGAAAAAAATGCAACATTTCTGGCTAGTAATTTCACTCGCTGGCTTTAATCTGCCTTTAGAGACCAAGCTTGTCTGTTTTAGCAGCCGATACATCTTCACTTAATTTATCTTTTAAAAGTTAAGATTCCCTCAGAGGCCACCTCCGAAGTCTGGATTATGAATCACTTCCTTTGCTGGGGGGAGACTGCATTAGGGGAAACAACTGTGGGGGAGGCATGAAGAGGTCACCCTTCATCTGGACCCGTCCATGTTCTGTGTATATCACAGAGAGGAATCTTGTCTCCCAGCACTTGATGGAATACTAAAATTTGGTGCTATCAAATAAAGAAGCTGGAAAGTAACTAAGCTGTTAAAACATCACTTGCCTTCTGTGAAGCGACATCATTAATGTTGAAAATTCATGTGGCAGCCCTTTGGTAATGAGGAAAGACTCATCTTGTTGCTTCTAAGATTAAAATAGTCAAATCTGGATTTTCCAGATAGAAGATTTTCGGATGTTTTGGATTCCCTCCTCTGGATTCTTTGCAAGTTGACTGACATTGGACTCTCCAGTAGAGGACTCAGAGGAAGTGGAGGCCAAAACCAGTCATCTGTGGCCTCAGAACAAAGTTTCCTCATTTTAACTGAAATGAAATCTAAGATTACCCATCACTATAAAGGAACTATGTTATTAAAACCTAGCATGACCACAAGTAAAAAGAACTGTTTCTTGTTCTCAGTTCTACATCCTGCCAGAATTTTGCTATCACCTAATTATGTAATGTCTTTTTATCCAGACCTCAGAGTTGGGCGTCACAGAACATGTTGAAGGAGATCCTTGCAAGTTTGCACTGTGGGTGGGAAGAACGCCCACTTCAGATAATAAAATTGTCCTCAAGGTATGTTCATCTGAAGCTGAGAGTGTGCTGTGTGAAAAATGGGTTGTGGCTATCCATTCTTTCTCTCCTGTTGTTGAAGCATACTGTTTTTGTATGTTATTTGTTTGTGTGTGTGTTCTGTTCAGTTTGGTGACTGCCACAAAAACAATAGTGAAATAAATTCAGTTTGGTGTTCTGGTGGTGAAATAACTTGAGCTAAACTTGTACTTGCCTCCTAAAGGAGCACATGAAGGAGGTCTTTTTAAACATCTCCCATTATTCCAGCCTTAGAATTAGTCTATTTTATAAAAGGTGCTGGAATTTGAGGTAGGAGGAGTGAGATACTGACCAACAACTCTCACTGCACATTTGACTTTGAGTTTCCAAAGGAAAAAGTCACCTGGTGCATTTGTGAGGGCCTTTGATGGGAAGTCAAGGCCAGCCATGCCAGGAGTCCTTACGGGGTCCTCAGCTCTGTGGCTGATTCGTTTGGGGGCAGAGACAAAGGGAGATGGTTATCAGAGACAGGGTTTGATACTGTGAAGATTTAAAATTCAAAAGTGCTCAGGGTGCTTTAGGGTATATAGTCTTTTGGGTATGAAAGCATCTTTAAGTATTTGATTTGAACTCTGTGTTGATTGTACTAACTTCCCCTGGGAGTGATAAAGAGCTCTAAGACTGTCTTATGTACTTCCCTCCTCTGTGTTGAGTAAAATACAGGTGGAACTGTCCTTTTGAGCCATCTGGAAAGATCATGAGCAGCTTTGGGATGTTTGAGGAAGGTACAGCCAAGATTTGTAGACTGTTGGGAGATGAGCCAGAGTGTAATGGGACGCTGGTGTGTGAACTTGTGTGTCACCTCTAGAATCTCTTGCATACCTTTTCATAGCTCTCTGGTATCCAGCAACTCTGAGCTACTCATCTATACATCACTCCTTAGAGCCTTTCTTTAGAGAAAGCCATTGTGTTCCTAAGACCTGTATTCACATGTAGACAGTGGATTGCTTTGCAGTGAATATGTGATTACCGACCCAGTGTGTTCTTGTTAGTACTGCATGAAGCCCTGTACAATAAAATTGCACTGATAACTAAATTTAAATAACTGATGTTTTTTCTAAGGTATGAACTGTAAAAGTATACTCATGACCCTAAAACTTCCAACTGATATAAACAATTTATCCAGATAAGCTACAGTGGCAGATGCCAAAAGGTGCTTCTAAGAAACAGTGCCAGATATTTTAGCCAGATGTGGTCTGTTTCCATTTAGGACATAATTAAATGCTCATGGTAAATTGAAGAATGAGACTTCCTGCAGGCTTTACCAGGTGAAAACTTCCTAGGGAGCTTTGGGTAATATCTCTTTGACTTTCAAGGAGAGACAAAAGGAAGTGATGTCCTCATTACTCAGAGATGGTGCTGGTGGTAGTGGCGTAGGTGATGGAGATGGTGGTGTAATGACAATGTCGGTAGAGGTGGTGAGGATGGTGGTGAGGATGGTGACAGTGGTGAAAACAGATGGGAGTGAGGGTGCAGATGGGGAAGCAGAGATGGTACTGGTGGTCTAGATGATGGCAGTGGTATAGGAGGTGGGGGTGTTTGTTGGGGTAGGTGGTGGTGGTGAGGGTTTAGGTGGTGGTTGTGAGGGTATAGATGGTGGGGATGGTGATGGTTTTGATGGAGATCATGGTCTCAATTTTTGGTGGTAGGTAGGGGTGGTGGAGGTGTTTGGTGGTGTAGATGGTGGTGGTGAGGGTGTAGACAATGGTGGTGATGGTAGTGGTGGTATTGACAATGATGGTGATGTGCTAGTAGTCGTAAAACACAATTTTGGTCTTTTTTGCTTCCAGAGTCTGGAAAGGAGAATTTTATTTCTAATTCCTTCCTTAAACAGATTGAGACTCCCAAGAGTATGAAACAAATTATTCCTACCTCTTAGCCACGGAGGACCTTTTCTTTACTTTAGCTGAGTTCCCTTTCTCTTACTATTCCTGAAACATTGACATTGCTTTTTTCCTTGTTTAATTTCTTTAAGGTTAGGAGAATCACTCTTCATAAATGCAACAATCAGTTTGCATGAGAATTTTCTCTCCTTCTGAGCCATATTAACAGTTTTCCTCACTTGTTTACAAGTGTTCTTTTGCAGGTACTTCTCTTTGTTTAACCTTCCAAATATTTGCAATCAGGCATTTAAATTCCAACAGATTTGTAGTTGTTTCTTTTGGGGTTTTTTTGAGTCAGAGTCTCACTGTTGCCTGGGTTGGAGTGCAGTGGCACGTTCACAGCCACTGCAGCCTTGACCTGCTAAGGTCAGAGGATCCTTCCGCCTCAACCTTTCAAGTTAGCTGTAACTACAGGTGTGTGCTACCACACCCGACTAATTTTTTTTTTTAATTATTGTAGAGATGAGGGCTCACCAAGTTGCCGATGCTGGTTTCAAACCCTGGCCTCAGGCAACCTTCTCGCCTCTGCTTCCCAAAGTGCTGGGATTATAGGCTTGAGCCACCATGTCCGGCCCAGATTTGTAGTTTAAAGTTTTCTCTTCTGAGACACTTTGCACACAGACCCTTGCTCCTTGGTCACTCTGCCTCTTCCTGCCCCCTTCCCCAGAGGACATTGGATTTGCTGTCCTGTCTCAGATCTGGGAAGAGGGGGCGGGAGGCTACCTTTATTCTTCATTTATTTCCTTGTCACTACGCTTAAGTAACTTTAAAGAAATACTCTCCAGTTAAAACACTTTATGTGGCAAAAGGCTTATCAATTTTAATTTCTCTTCCCACTGTGGGCTTAGATTTTCTATTTTCAAAAACATGTTACACAATGAGAAATGTTAAGATCTCCTCCCTTGATGATCTCATCTGTGATCCCACTGACAATTAATTTAATCATTTACAGAGAATTATGCTTGTATCATAGGAGGTTGACGTTTTCTGTAAGGAAATTAGGAAACTGTTAGTAAGGCCCAAACATGTAAAAAGAAAAAGAAAAGAAAAAAACACCCCTTTGAGGCAGAGTGAAAAAAAATTCTGGAAAAAGTGATGCCATATGCGTTCATTCAGATGCTTATTGAGTATCAACTGCATCATTTGCAGAGAACATTTTTCCAGAGTAGTAATGGAGTTGAAGTGAAGCCAGCATAGGTGATCGGCAGTTGATGGCCTCATGACCTCGGGCACATTTCTTATTGTGTCCATTCTTTGGTTCCTCATTTATAAAGCAAAGACAACAAAGGTGCCTACCTATAGCATCCTAGTGGGAGTGAATGCGCGAATGCACTTGAAGCTGCCGGCCTGGCATCAGCCAGGGGTGGGGGGAGCAGCCACTGCTGTTGTCCATGAATCATGGGACAAGGTGACGAGAATGCAGGGATGAGTTCAGTTTCTTGCCGTGGCTGTGCTAGCCACTGACCAGCGCATAGTCTTTGCCTAAATAGCCTCGGGACGTTTTAGTCTGAGGTCCCTGTGTTTGTTCATCTGCCTAGGGTTGCTTAAGAGGTCTTGGGGCTGGAGAACAATCAAATATTAGAATAGTCAGAGATCTGTAATGATATGTGTGCTATAAAATAGAAGTGGATGTGATGAAAAAATTAAATAGTCATTTATTTGGTGAAGAATTAAAGACAGGATGTGGTTCCTTTACTGCTGCAAAATCATTTTGAAAATGAGAAACTCGAGGAACACAGGAGCCCTGGGTGTGGTTAGAACGGGTCTGGAAGGGCCCTTCTGTGTCCTGAGTGACTCTTACACCTTGTCAAGGCTTCCAGCATAGAGAACAAGCAGGACTGGATAAAGCACATCCGTGAAGTCATCCAGGAAAGGACAATCCACCTGAAAGGAGCCCTGAAGGAGCCCATCCACATCCCCAAGACAGCCCCGGCAGCCAGGCAGAAGGGCAGGAGGTAAGCACTCGGGGGTTCTGTATGCCTGTTTGTTTAATGGGGAAGGAACAGGACAGTGTTAGCTTACCATTTTTCAAAAACCGTTTGCTCATACGTGTTGAGGAATATGTTTTTAGAGCTACCTCTTGGATAGAACATCATTCTTAGTAATAGAACTGCTTTGTCAAGACAAGAGCCTTCGTTAGCTTCAGGTAAACAAAGGACTGTATGCAAATCCCTCATTTTTTTCTTTCCCACCCCAAGCACTGTTGGGTGCACATGAGTAAATCATGCATGTGACCTTGGACAGGTTTATAAGGCATTTGATATTGTTTTCTCGGGTCCAACATGGAAACAATCATATGAACCATATTTCATTATGGTGAGAATTCAGCAGAAAGATATATTTAGATACTTAGCACAGCACCTAGCAAAAAGACTGTGCTTGATAAAGAGCAGTCTGTCATCCTTAGTGGTAGCAGGCAGTTGTGAAGACTAATAGGCACCTCTTTAAGCAAATCAGTTACTTCTCCAGGGACTGATAGATGACCTCTACCAGCCCTGCTGTGTCAGGAATTAAAAGTTCCTTTATTCTGCCAGGGATGGAGAGGATCTGGACAGCCAAGGGGATGGCAGCAGCCAGCCTGATACAATTTCCATCGCCTCACGGACGTCCCAGAATACCCTGGACAGCGATAAGGTGAGCTGTCACTAGCACTTTCTGTGGGAAGGCAGATACAGCTAGTCTCAGTTCGAAGCAGCCTCCTTCTGTCTATAACTTACAAGCCTCCTTCTGTCTATAACTTACAAGTCTATAACTTACAACATTTTTAAGCAACCTCTGTATACCTGGAGTGGTGCCAGGACCCTGTGGTGGTAGGGCAGAGGATCCTTTGAACCCTGAGGATTTAGGAGAAATTGCTCCACTCTTTCCATTCTACCTCTGGCAGTTATTGGATGTTTGAGGACAATGGTTTAAGCTGTTTAAATTTTATTTATTTATTTTTTGGAGACAGGGTCTCATTCTGGCGCCCAGACTGAAGTGCAGTGGCACGATCATGGCTCACTGCAGCCTGGACCTCCTGGCTCAGGCGCTCCTTCTGCCTCAGCCTCCTGAATAACTGGAGCTACACTGCATGCGCCACCATTGCCCAGCTAATTTTTGTTTGTTTTTATATAGTCAAGGTCTATGTTGCCCAGGCCAGTCTTGAACTCGTGGGCACAAGTGATTCTCCCACCTTGGCCTCCTTAAGTGCTAGGATTACACTCATGAGCTACCATGCCTGGCCTTTTTTATTGTATTCTTAAGCAGCAAAACCTCTCATTTAAAATAAAATGCTGCACAGAACAGCAAAAATGCAAACATTACAATTTAGAATCTTTAAGATGGGCAGCACCCCTCCAATGAGTAGAAAAGACACAGGATGGAAATAAAGACTTTGTTACTTACAGGTCCTGGGGTTACATGGAATGCCTGGCAGTCACATGCACCAGGAGGTCAGGGAGCATGTAGAGAAATGGGGGAGGTCCCTTGGCCCAATGCCTTTATTGCATCCAAGGCATTATTCAAATAGGTTTTCTGCAGAGAGCTTTAATTGATGAGTTTAAACCAAGCAGGCATGAGTTTCAGGTCACACTGTAACTGAGAAGTAATCACCTTGGCATGTCTGTCCTGCTCACATGGCAAATGGGGGTTGGTGGGACCAGTTAAGAAGGCTGAATGTAGCTGTCATAGGTGGGTGGTCACCAGGAAGAAGTTGAAGAGGCAGATACCTGGAATGGCCATACTGAGGACCAGAGGAGCTGGAGAACTGGAAACTGTGTCGAGGGCTACCAAGCCTTGCTTCTGGGATGAGAAAGGGCAACATACTCTGTATTCAGAGTGGATGCCAAGGCAACATTCAAATTATAAGAATTCATAGCAGTATGTAAGAGTGGAGCTGCTCTGATGGAAGAGAGGGTGTTGCCATGAGGTGCCTTCTTAGAACTTTGAGGTACAGCACAGCACAGAAGAGTACCCTAGAATTGGCAACAGTGATGACCACTGGGAGGATAGATCTGATCTGTATCAAAAAAAGTTTGTGTAGGTGTGTCTTCTTCAGAAATGGCCTGAAGTATCTCATGATTTTGCCTTGATAGAATCCAAAAATGCTACAAAATAAACTGACTATAGAGTTTGGAACCCTGGGTTTAACGCAATGGACAAAAGACCAAAAAAGTCCTCTGACAAAGCCAGTGGGAAACATGTGTCTCAGTGAAGTCTTCTGTTTCTACTGAGATGAACATTTGTTCTATTATATTCCCAGAATGTTGAACCAAATTCTTTTTTTAAAAAACTGACAGTGAGTAGGTGTTTCCTTTAAGTCACTGTCAGTTCAGGAATCCTGAGTTTCTCCCTTCGATGCAGGCTATGCCTTGTTACATGAGGCCTTGGTGCTGACTGTGAGACATTGGAGTCTGTTCCTTCCCCATCATTTCCACAGCCCACTTGTGTGTAGGGACACTGAACAGTGGTCACTGACCTTGCTGTCATTGGAAAATCATTGCAAGCCAAGGACAGAGTGCAATATCTGAGAAGTTGTTTCAATGGCGCAGCTTATAGTCCCACGCTTTGGCCTTGTCTTGCTCGGTTTTGGAGAAAAACTCACCGTATTTAATGTTGTTTCTAGGATAGAAGTAAGTAGATTTTTAAATATTCCTGTCGGGCTCGGTGGCTCAGCCTGTAATCCCGCACCTTTGGGAGGCTGAGGTGAATGGATTGCCTGAGCCCACGGGTTCGAGACCCGCCTGGGCAGTGAGACCTCATCTCTACAATAAATCAAAAAATCAGCCGGGCGTGGTAGCGCATGCCTGTAATTCTGGCTACTTGGAAGGCTGAGGCGGAAGGATCACTGGAGCCCAGCAGGTCGAGGCTGCGGTGGCCGAGAGCGGCCACTGTGCTCCAGTCTGGGCGACAGAGTGAGACTCCAACTCAAATATATATATATTCCTCTGCTACGGTGATTTCATTTTCAAAATCCTTCTAGTTTGAGTAATTAGTTTTTTTCATTCTACTTTTTGAGTTCATTAAATAATAGGTCCTAGGACTTAGAGAAACAGAACTGGAGAATTAAAATAATGTCGCATTTTATTTTGTTCAGCGCCCTATGTATTAGCATTCAGCAAATGTGTCTTGCCTGTAGTAATAAGAAGATAAATGACATGTTCAGACATTTGGTGCCTAATAGTATTTCTCCCTGAAGTCCCACCCCATAGCCATTTAGGTTAAAAAAGAAATAAAGTTTGAGCTTGGAAACATTTTGTTAGAGAAGTGTTAGTAAATTGTGTAAGGTGACTATCTGGTCCCTTTACATGAGATGGCCACCTGAAAGAAAAGTCCAAAATAGTAACTCCTCAAGTGGTCTCCTGAGCAGACTGTACTTGAGAATTACTACTAAGCCCCAAATTCACATTCATACTAGATAAACTCTCATGGATCTGCTCTGGATTTACCCTACAAATGAGTTTCAAAGTTTAATTTAAAAAATAGAGGCTGAGGGGAGAGAGAGAGGAAGGGAGGGAAGGAGGGAGAGATGTAAAGATTAAGCTTGGAAAGTTCATGAAGACTTTTGCAGGTTGATCTGAGAAGCAAGGATGACTCGTGTCCCCAGGTAGTTTATGGAGAAAGGGGTAGCAACGGGAGTCTGGAAATGTCCCCTCTATCCAGGAAGGGGTTCTGGAGTCTCCAGCTCTTCACTCGTGCCACTGCACTTCAGTCTGGGCGCCAGAATGAGACCCTGTCTCCAAAAAATAAAGAAATAAAATTTAAACAGCTTAAACCATTGTCCTCATGGCATCCTGCCATGTAGGAGGTGAAGGACCCACCTCCTTTGCTGGTACTCACCTCCCCTTAACACAGTGCAGCCCTGGCCCTTGAGGTGTGTGGCTGACTGGATTTCCCAGGGGGATTCTACAGAAATAAGGCTGTATCCCAGCGTTAGGAGCAGTGAAGCTAGCATGATGAGCTCTGTTACAGCTAACAGGGCTTACGTGAACTTGGAATATAGCACATCATGTCTGTACCCAAGGAGAGAAGAATCAATCACTAACAGAAAAGAATAGGCTTGCAGAAATGCATGATTTTATCCTAGGAATCTACTGAGATGTGAGAATTTTAAAAGAACTGCCTACTAGATATTTTATCTGTGAAGATGATTCACCAATTTCTGTTTACCTCATTTAATGTGTTGCCTCTGAGCTTCATTTCTGAGCTCAGAAATCCCTGAAGGGTGCCTTCTGCCAAGCCAGCCATTTCCTCCTCTTCCCCGGCTTCTGGAAGGTTCTTTACTGATGCTTCAGGGTGGAGCTTGTGACAACATTCTGCCACCCAGTGACACTCACCCAGATGTTCTCGTGGTTTTTAGCCATCTTGAAGGGATGACACTCCAAACTACTTTTTTAAATGGACCTGCCATTTTCCTTTAATACCCCTCGCTGAGACTGTGAGTCTTTAATAGGCACTAAAGCACAAAAAAGAATGAAATGTCTTCCTGTGAGACTAGATCTGCAGCCATTATCTTCTTCAATTCTTGAGACCTGCATTTGGGATTAGAATAAACAGTGGGTGAGACTTAACGATAAGTCAGAATTTGGAGTTTGGACAGGAGGTACCCATGAGGCCTTGAAGGAGGGCATGTGTTGGTGCTACGCGGTGCCTGCAGCAGTGTGTGCTTGCCTTTGCGAAGTTTGCTTTTAGCCAGCTCCCGTTTTATGCCTGTCTGGTAGGACATTTCAGGGTCAGTGGATGATTTAAGAGAATATGTTTTGAAAATCAGAGACTACAGGCTTTCCTGAGTCAGTTTGTTAAAATGCACTGTTTCTCTGAACTAAGCTTACCCAGAAACACCTCCCCCCACCCCAGTGATGGTAACTTTTCATATGTCTCAAGGTTCTTTCCGCCCTACATATTTTAATTTTAAACATCCTCTGATAACGTAGGCAGATGGATCTGGTGAGGGAAGTTACTTAATGACATTCTGCCTGTTTGACTTAATTTATTATGTCTGTTATGAGTTAGTTGTTATCATGGAATTTGGTTCCACTGCAGAAACTAGGTGGGGGGATGTTTTTAACTTGGCCTCTTGGAGAATTCTTAAGAGAAAGTTATCTGCCAGGGCAAAGAAAGTTATCTGCCAGGCCTGTTAGTCATTCTAAGATGAGGCACTAAAGGTTTAGGAAGAGTCTATGAAGGAGGGTCCCAGAGACACCCTCTTTCCAGGGAGCACTGTCAGCAGAGCTGCTCAGCCTGGCCACAGACACGGCCACATGCCTCAGGAGCGAATTTCCTACTTTGAAAACATCAGTTTCAAAATATGCCATCTCTATGTTCCAAAATTGAGTTTAGCACTGGTTCTTGCTGATATTCATGGTACTTAGGCTGATAAAATGATCTTATGAAAATAGAATTTGGGTTCCAAAGAAATGAAGTGCATTCCAGATTCTTATCTCATTTGTCCTGAGTGTGCCTCCCTGAGGTAGAGAGGAGAGTGCCGAGCCAGGCCTGGGACATTGCAGAGATCGAGGCCCTCAGCGGGGCCTTCCAGCAGCAGAGGACTAAAGCCAGAGGCAGAATGTGCATTTAATCATCTCGCATTTTCTAGACCTTATTATTTCACACTAGAGCTGAACTTGGAGCTGAGTATTTCCAGTATACTAAAGAAA